TTATGAAGTGGACCTTGAATCCCGCTTGGGGAAGACTCAGGTAACAACTTTGGATAGGATTCTAGTTCTAAATGTATATGCTTTCGCAAAGCTAGGATTTCCGGCGTTGTATTGTGGCTTAGCTTCACACCTGCGACCAGATTTTATGGTTAGTTCCAGTAAGATAACATTTTTGCCTAATTTGCTCTCTCTTGGCTGCATGGTTTGCACAGACATTACGGGAGCTTCACATTCCTTCTCTTTGATCCTTTAACTTTCGTTGGCTTTCTTCGATCATGTGAAATATCTATAGTCTTTAGAACACGACCCCCCCGGGGGGGGGGAGAGGAAAAAACTTAATTTAGAAATGCCTGAGCGTTGTATTTTTCATTTTTATCTTTGAATGAACTTTTTGATTATTCAGTTCTACTAAAAAAATGAATATAAACCTTGTTGCAGGTTGTTACTCCAGTTGCGCCTCTAAGCCAGCAGGTACTTACATACCATGTTTGTCGACAGTTATTCCTAAATATCATAGCTGCCTTAAGTGAACAATTTCTTTGCCATTGTTGCTTTTCCCCACTATGTGATGCATCAAAATTTAGAGTAAAAATATCCGTCACTGAGCTTGCACTTTCCCTTGAAACACAAAATTCTGCTATCTTTTAAGATTTGAGAATTGATACAAGTAATGCTAGGGTTCAAGTAAGGCAAATTATGTGGATGATGATATATGTGAAGAATGGCGAGTGAGAATGGCTTGCTGGCTACTATTTTTCTGGGCATTGACAGTTAGTTTGTTTCTTGTATATATGCACAAAGAACAAGTAACTTAACTTGTACACTTGCATGTTCCAATCTTTGCTACTTGTGTCGTTGCTTATTATCTGGTACTCTGTATTCTGGTGTAACTTGTTTGACATTTCATTGCGGTTGTTCTCTGGATTATTTGCCTCTGTTGCAGGCTGGATACTACTGCCCGGTTTGTGAGTGTGTGGTAAAGGATTCTGCAAATTACTTGGATCATATTAATGGAAAGAAACGTATGTGGTCTTCTTAACATGCCTGCCTTGATTTAACATGTTAGTACTTGATTGAACTGTCTTCACCATTCTGATGATTATTATTTCTTTGTCCCTTAAGATCAAAGAGCTCTGGGAATGTCTATGCGAGTAGAGCGTGCTTCTCTTTCACAGGTATAGTGCAAGTTTGATTTTGCATTGGGAGGGGTGTGTGTGAGAGAGAGAGCATGTCTGCGGATCACTTTTTGTTAGTTGTTTCTGTACATGTGTTGGACAGCGGTGGTGAATTTTCTGATGAAACAGGTTCAGGAACGATTTGAAGTTCTTAAAAAGCGCAAAGCGCTTGGAAGCTTCACAGAGCAAGGTAAAGGCTTTGGAAAGGAGGCTATTTTTTTTTTTTTTTGGTTTGCTTTCCTTGGAAAAAATCAGTACTACCTAAGCAATTTTCTCTGTTTAGTTGTGGACAATTCCTTTTAATAAATATTTGTTTGATGATTACTATACAGATCTGGATGACCGGATCTTAAAACAGCAACAAGAAGAAGAAGAAAGAAAGAGACAGCGACGGGAAAGGAAGAAAGAGAAGAAGGTCAGCAGTTTAGTGCTTCTTATTGAATCTCCACGCATGGGATGGGTTGAAAGAAACATCCCGTCCTACCCCCACCTTAATACTGAAATGTTCATATCTGCCCAAAGAACCCTGGCAGTCCCAAGGGTTCCTTCTATCATGTTATCTTAATTAGTCATTACTGCTTTCCCCCCCATTTTCCCTTTTTTTTTTTTTTTCAAACAACGTATTTAATTATGTTTTGATTATGGGCTCAGAAAGAGAAGGAAGTTGAGGAAGCACCAGAAACAGATCCTGATGTTGCAGCTATGATGGGGTTCGGTGGCTTTCGGTCATCCAAGAAATGATGCCATGCCATATACTTCATTACGGAATCTTAACAATCATTTTGTAATGTTAAGCTAGATTTGGCATCTGTTGCCCACTCCAAGCATATATGGTGAAAGGAAAACGATGATGCATCTAGCAGCAGAAGAGGTGGATGGGGCTTGATGGATTCAATCTATAAATCATGCAATTCGTTTAGGTTATTTTATTGGCTTTGTTGATCTATGGTATATAAAGTGATCCGTGCCTTTTCACCTGCTCTGTTATTTCGCTAATTTGTTTCTTTTTAGACGCCCTTTCTCAATGGTCCATCCGGCGGGTGGACAGAAAATTTGGGAGGAGGTAAAAGAGTAAACTTTATGCATGGTTGTAGGCCCAACTGCCCAGGCTTACTGATTTAAGTATTCTCGTGCCCCGGGGTGAAAGGCTGCTTGGGATATGCTAATGCTTGCGCACTGATACATCCTGATGTCATTTCTCGGGCCATCTGCGTTGATCGTTGAATCCCTTGTGCATGGAATACTGGGCTCTGTTTGAGAAAATGAACTTGAGGGAAGTGGGAGTCTCGTGTCACCTAAAAATTGTTACTTCGAGAGATTGAATTTCGTGTTAGGGGTTGTTTGACTTCTCCTGAAAGTATCTTTGAAAAGTATTTTCAAGCAGAGAGATAAATTTCTTTTTTTTACATGTTTATTCCGTAATAAAATTATGATTTTTTTTTAATATAAACACTTTCTACATACAAGATCTCGAATTATTTTATTTTTATGTTTATTATTTTTTTAAGTCAATTTATCTAACTTATAAATTGATAAATAATTTAATGTTATATGATAAGGATTTTAAAAATTATGTTGCATGTTATTATTAATTGATTTATTCAGTCTTTTTAACTTATTCAGATCAGTGATGTCTTTTGGGGGAAGATTCAAGTCAGTTATGTAATTGTTATATTAAGAATTAAATGCAGTACTTCATTTGTATCCATTTATAAGAGACAATTAATTAAATTCCGTTGTATAATAAACTGTGTAGTTGTTTATAATTCATGGAATTTGTCAGGTTGTCGGGAAAGGCAGTAGCATGATGTAGATTTTTTTAATAGAAGTTTTTCCTCCAAATTTTACCATATGAAGTACATTAGTACAAAAGCAATTAAGGTTACGAGGAACCTATCAATCAGACCGCAAAGAGATCAAACGACTACTTCTTTCTTAATGCAAGTCATTGTTTGGCATTAAAGCAAATTAATTGCTGCTGCCACCAAGACGAAGAAGAGATGGGATCTAATCCAAATAGTTAAATTGCAGGCAGTGCTTATTTCTCCACCAATGTGATCTCCCAAGTTGAAAATCCCTGCACAAGCATATTATTCTCTAACTGAGGACAGCGAATATAAAATACAGAAGGGAAAGCAACCGGCGGCAAAAATCATAGCGGAAACAGTAGTATTTTGACCTCTTTCTTTGGCAAAGTTGCAACCAGCAATCAGTGCATATCTTATTTGCTGCACACTGGCTTTATTGTAGAATAGGAAATCGGATAGCATGTTATCTATGCAATTAAGCACAAGCTGTGTTTCTGCAAGGCATGGGCCACTGCAGAAAAAATCAGTCGCCTCAGGTGGTACGTTAATATTCCCAGATGGATTTAATCTATACAGCTGATCACATGCCACATAGATCTGCAAATTACCCGTGGCCAACCCAAAGAGAAAGCGTGAACACATCAGAGAAGAAACATTATTAATGGGCAAAAAAGAATGACCAGACAAGATTTCAAGAGCAGAAGGTTAACATGAAGCCCATGCAACCAGAGAAAGGAATATATGAGACACCGACTCACGAGGTTATTATCAAAGCAAGATAAAGCTTTTGCTAAGCTCTGTTCCTGAAATTGATCCTGTGCAGCCCCTGCTGAGGGCGAACGGTGAAATACACAAATATTACATGAAAACGTAGACAAAAGATGGATTTCAAATGTAAAGAATGACAAGTGATGGCTAACCTGAGTAGAAGCATAAAATTACTATAAAGATTAAGGAAGCCATGAATAAACTCTTCTTTGGCAGGAATAAATGTCCCATGATTGTGAAGGGTGGGAAGAGAAATATACATAGGAAGAATAAGGAAGAGTGCATCTTATTATGTCAAGGTATGGGGTGCCTCATGGTTCGACTTTTCCGAGGAAGAGGGGAGGGAGAGTCGGAGAGATGAGGGAGGCAAAATGGCAAAACTACAAAAGGAGGTGATGAAGTAGGTCAACCCCCGTAGAAGGGGAGAATGAAGGAGAGGTTTGTAGTTAGCAAAGATGGGACTTCGGAGGCTAATGGCAACGAAATGAGCGATGGTCGATGGAAATCTCAGGCAAAGTGTGACGCAATGCGTTGGTCGCCAAACCTGCGTCGGTCAACAAAGAATGAAAGCAAAATTAAAAGCGGGCATCGTGGAGATGCCGGGTATCGATCCAGGCACCTCTCGCATGCTAAGCGAGCGCTCTACCATCTGAGCTACATCGTCGACCGTTTTAAGTTTTCTTCAATCTGCAAGACCCTACAGATAAAGTACTATTATTACTATTTAATAGCAGAATGAGTACATAATTTGCTTAAAATTTTGAGAGTACTTCTCCGCATAAGGTTCCCGCAACGACTAACATCTCCGTCAGGGAGGTGCCTCTGAAACTTGACATCTTCCCCCAAGTGCTTGTGAATTCTTTTCTTATGAAAAAGGCCCTTGTCAACTCCCAATACAGTATTTGGGCCTGAAACGCCGGGCTTGCTTGCACAGTGGATTCGTAATCCCTTCCCTCAATACGGTGCGTTTTGGTTCGCCACGCTCGGAGTTCGAGGTCGCAGCTGTAAATGTCTTCCCAGTTCTCTCCCCCTTGCTGGAACGAGACCTCGTATCGAGTCTGTCGACAACACGTTCTTTGATTCTTCCCCCCTATTTCAAGTATGTCAACTGGCGGCGATTATTTGATCCGCTGAACGATATAGCAGCGTGATAGGTTATTTGCTTTTTAGGATTCGGGTTAATCGGTAGAGCCATGGATTTCCAGAAGAGGAGGGTTCAGTTACTGCTCTTCGTCGCGGGCATCATTGTTCTTAGCATCACAGGTACTCTTGAATCATTCTGTATTTCTATATCCATGTTTCGGATGTTCTAATTATTAGTGTTGATTACTTTCCCTTTTGAGTATTTTGGCATTAACATTACCCAAATATTAGCATGAGTGAGAATCACTAACTCCACTCACAGGTTTTGAACCTTACCAATTCTGCTGCACGTACTCTAGGATGAATTTATATCTCAACATTTCTGTTGCTTGCGTCGGTCTTGACTGAACAGTATCATTTTCTCCTGCGCCGTTTATATCTTGGTTCCCTGTTCACGATTAAAGTCGCACAACTCCTGCACCGTTTTCTCCATTTACAAAATTAATTTTTTATAGCGTTCACAAATTTTCAAAATGGATCTGCTGAATGTTGTTTGCGCCTGTGTAGGATCGAACGATTTGGAATTTGGAGTGCTAACCATTGTTTGTTGGTATTCATAGTATCATACTATTATATGCTTTATGCTCAAGCCACCATACTATATTTGGTTTGTTGCGTCGGACAGGACAGTTGCAGTTCACTTTCGATCATTCTTTTTGCCGTCCTTAACAGTTCTGCACTTTCTTTTTCTGAATTCTCGCTCAGTTTCAATGTGGAACTCTAATTTGGAGGTCTAAATCAATTTCCCACTGGGGTGAAGGATAGGGCTTACAGGTGGCAGAGCAGCAATGCCTGGTTATATTGTATCCCAAACTATAATTGGGCGATTTAGAAAAATATATTTGTTTTCTAGCATGAATTGTAGGAATGACTTCAACGTCTCATAATTTTCCTTGTTAAGTGATCATTTTCAGAACAGCTTCTAGTTCTTCCCGACAAGCTTCAGCGCATCAGCTTACTCTCTTTTAACCTTTTCCGTTTTTGGTATTTTTGTTTTGCTTGCTGAAGACTTCCTTTTGCATTGTTGTTATTTTCAGCTGAAAAATGCAGGCTGCTGGTTGGGGAGGAGGCGGCATCCCAAAGCGGGAAGTTTACATTCTTAAACTGCTTTGATATGGGCTCAGGAACTTTAGCATGTGTTGTCAAGGAAGGAGTGAAGCTTTATTTTTACAACATTAGAGCTGCTCACGTTGAAAGAGCAAGGAATCATGCAATCGAGTCTGCTCTTGTCGATGCTGTGTCACAAGGAATGTCAGCAAAGGATTCAGCTAAACATGCTCAGAAAGAAGGTGCCAAGGCTGCAAAATTGGCTTCACGCCAGGCCAAGCGAATTATAGGCCCTGTCATCTCTTCCGGATGGGACTTCTTTGAAGCTATGTACTATGGTGGAACTATCACGGAGGGCTTCCTCAGGGGCACTGGTACCTTGTTCGGTGCTTATGCTGGAGGTTTTCTGGGGGAGGAGAGGCTTGGAAGATTTGGCTATCTCGTCGGAAGTCACATGGGCAGTTGGTTTGGAGGCAGAATAGGACTAATGTTATATGATGTGGTTAATGGAGTGCAGTTCCTGTTGAATTCTGTTCAAATGGCTGGCAGTGAAGTTGAAGGTACTTTGGATCATGGAAGTTCTGAAGCACCCAAGAGTTCCTATTTTGAGGAAGCTCCTCTTTATGACAGGTCCGAAGGTTCTGATGAACCCAGTGTTTCTGAATCCTATGCCGCCGAAGAAGCCAATGCCTATGAATCTCCTGCCCATCAGAGCTCGGAAAAATATGAAAATTCCGATTTGTGATGAAATTTTTTTAGCTGATGCGTGCAAGGCATCAACTGCTCGAGTCATAATTGGATGCCTGATGTGTATGTTCGTTCCTTTGGTGTATTTACTTCCACCATTGGGCAACTCCCAAAGTACTGTAAAATATACCCCATGATTAATTTAGAAAAGATTATAATTTTAGTCTTTCTTGATTCTAGTTTCTTTACTCCAACTAACGAGGATTCCATAAAAATTAAGTAGTGATCTTTATAACTCATAAAAAGAGTTACTCTGTCAGGGATGCCGTGTAGGAAAATTGCCTATAGGTGAGAAATTATATATGGAAAAATTAAAAAAAAAGAATTATATTTACAAGTTAAAGTGTTAAACTTGCGCTTACAAAAAAAGTAGAAGCTTTAAACTTGCATATTTGGGAGTCATATTCATGCCATTCATGATTGAATTGTATATTTACAATCTAACTTTTTTTTAAAAAAAAAAATTTGTGGGAATTTCTTCATATAAATTTTCATTTAGCTTGATTAATTTAAATCTATATTATAGTAAAGGTAAAACTGTATTTTTCTAATTATAAAATTAAATAAGATTATGGATATGGGGGTATAGGAGCTTGGCGTTACTGTTCATTAACCTGTATATGATCTTTTCTAAATGACGTGCCTTGCCTGTTAAAAAATTTTGTATATATTTCCTTATGAAGATCGAATTCTCACTCTTACTGGGAGTTAACGTTTGAATTCTCGCTAAAAAAAAAAGCGTGCCAAAATTAATGGGAAAAGGAAATCTTGGTGTGGCGAGATCGTTTGCTGCTGTTATTCCTTTTGACCCCCTTGGTTTGGATTTATCCATTGGTAACCCCACAAGCGACTATGAGGTCAAGCAGCCTCTATAGTCTATGACTTTCCTGTGGCTGTGGAAGCGAGGGAGGGGTCGAAGACGAGGGGGCCCACTTACTTGCGAACCACCTGAGAAGACTAGATGCTCGTCCTGTAGTAATGAGGGCCCATTTCGTTGTTGAAATCCACAGCAATTGAAAGGGAATCAACTCTTCATTCTACCAACAGGAGTTGAGTCTAACAGAAACAGTTAATCTCTCACAACGTGTCCCTACTAGGAGAGGTACTCATATTTAGTACCTGATAGTGTTTTGAATAGGATTAACTCGAATAGGATGATATCTATGTTTTAACCCAAAAAAAAAAAAAAAAACTCTTCATTCCAGCCCTCTGTACATATAATAGGGATTTTGCAGCTGCAAACAACGGGAAGCCCCAATCACCGATGCTTCCATGGAGGTAGCTGAAGAAACGATGGCGGCATGGCCTATGCTGTTCGGTGGCTCCGCCTGGATGACCAATAAGATCAGAGAATACATTTATTTTCGTGTAGTTTTTATGGGCTTGAGGTCTCCTTTTTCATCCAACAAGAAACGAAGGACGGTGACTGTTAAAGGGTTTTTTCGGGTCATGAAATTTGTCTTAATATTGATAAATTTTTCATTACCACATAAAAGATGAATTAGAATTATACCGAATCTTCTTTGTGTTGAAGCTTGAATTATATTGAATCTTCTTGTTCAGTACTTTTTTCAACTTAATATAAAACACAATTAACTAATTTGAATAGATTAAAGATATTAATTAAATTAGTTAATATGATATGTTTCTTATAATGTACTTTAATTATCTTTTTAAATTTCTTTCCTCCTTTTATATTTGATTATTATTGAGGGAATATTAATAAGTTTAATTTGGAATCAAAATTGATAAACATGTGAAATAGTTCTTATATATAGAATAAACATCAATTCCTAAATTGGTTCCTATATTAAGAATCCAACAAGTGAGCATTCACAAGTAAAATTTTTTTAGGGGAATGTCATTAGAGTTTCTATTTTTTTTTTTTTTTGGCCAGAAGAGTCTACTTAATTTATACTACCTCTGGTCCTAATTATAAGAGCCAATTAACTAATTTGAGGAGATCAATAAAGTAAGTTAAGTTAGTTATTTATAGTACATAAGTTTTGTCATTCCTAAAATATTCTTGCTAATTAAGTGTATTGGCTAGAATTATCATTATTAGAAGGACTATCTTAGAAAAAAAATACATAAATATAAGAAAAAATTGATTTGAGTCTTATAATTAGGACCAAACTAAAAATTAAACCGGGTCTTATATTAAAGAGAGGAGGTAGTAATTAATACGTTGTTTGTGTCGAAAAAAAAGAAGTAGCCACTAGCCACGTCGCCCCCTCAATAATGCAATTTCTCTTAATAAAAAAGGTGCATCCGTGCATGATCAGCCTTTATTTTATTTTTCCTCCTTTAAACAAAATATCAGGACAACCGGATAGGTTATATTGTAAATTGTAAAGTCAATAAAATGAGCAAAAAAAATCACAGCCTCACGATTGGCCTGGTGTTTCTTGCACGAGAATGAAAAAGAATATACAAGCGTAGTCAATGACTTTTTTCCATGAGAATCATCATAACCTCACACAACACATTTAAGAAAAATAGTGTATATGTTAGCCATGTGGAATGCGATTATTGGATTATGCAATTAATATTCAATTCAAATACGAATAACCCCTTCGGGATAAGAAATTTTTTTTCCATAACCTGGACAAGGCTGGCCAGGGAAAAGGACCACACGGTCCCTGGGCTTACAGGTGAATTGAAATTCAAATTGTTTTAAAGAGAATACTTAGCATATTATTTAATTTTAATATAATATAATATACTAATATAAGGTCATGTCAATAAAAAATGGTTAATAAAAAAAATGATAAACCACTCTATCTTGACATCATAACCAGGATATAATATGTGTATATTCTACAAAATATACGGAACAAGTGGGAGAATCACGCATAAGGAGCATGAAAAGAAATGAGAGGATGTTTGGTAACTCTCAAAAGTGCTTTTAAAAAGCATTTTTTGAAAAACAAGACAAATTTCTCTACATGTTTACTGTGTAAACTGTAAAAATATTTTTAAAATTATGGTTTGATTTCCATCTAAACGCTCCTGGATCGTCTTAAAGTATCATGGCTATTTAAAATTACACACATGTAAATGGATAAAAATATTTTTACGCGTTTACGATCTCAACTGTGAATCCTGAAAAATTTAGTCGTAAATGAACGGTGGATTATAAAAATTTAGTAAACTCCAAAAAATCGGTTGTATTTTCTGAAAGTTTAATTGTAAATAATATAAGTATATTTTTAAATAAATTGTAAATCATACATATAATATAGATACTAGAAATATTTAGCCAATTAACTTCTGGCTTTTAGGATTAAGTCTTTGGTTTTTATAGTTAAACTTTCAGAATCTATAAAACTTTATAATCACAAGTGATTTCCAACTGATATTCCACTATTTATAATTAAACTTCTAATATCTGTAAGTGAGTATTTTTAATTTATAAATGTTTGCCAATTTATAATTTATTTGTAATTGATCTCTCGAGAACTGGAACTAAAGTCTTTACGCCGTGTAAATTATTTTCTATAATTTATAACTGAGTTATGTGTTAATCGTGCACGGCACTTTTATTTATTTGTTTGTTTTCCAAAAATGTTTTAAAATAATTATTTTATTTTCATTATACTTCCGTGTAATTCTCCGTAAATAAGCAACACAATACGACGTTAAAGTTTGAAAAATTGCAGAACAGTGAATCGTCTCTTCCCTCCGGCTCGTTGATGCCAACCAGTGTCCCTTTCGATTTCGTGAAGACGTATTCGCGATACGTGTCCAATTTATTTTTAATATTTAATTATCACAATTCACTATACATATTTACTCTATGCCATGATCTCATCGACGACACAAAGATAATATTAATAAGTATAAATCGCGATGCATGCTGAGAGAAAAGTCGTTTTTTTTTTTGCAACTAGAGGAAATTCATTAATCATTTGCATGTATAGTATACATGCCAAGTTATTATTATGTCCTAAATGTAAGACCCTTATACACACTAGTATAAGGGTCTTACATTTAAGACCGGAGGAGTATTTTTTTTGGCCAAAATTATTACTACCTCCGATCCTTAATATAAGACCCCATTTGATTTTTATTTAGTCCTAAATATAAGACCTCAATCCGCTTTGTTTTTTATATTTATCTATTTTTTTTCAAGATAGTCCTTTAATAATGATAGTTCTAGATAACAAACTTGATTAGTAAAAATATTTTAGGAAAAACAATATATATTCATTACAAATAACTAACTTAACTAAGTTCTTTAATTTCTTCAAATTAGTCAACTGGGTTTTATAATTAAGACCGGAGGTAATATATTTATTGGCAGCATAGTTATTTGAATACATTTGGTATGCCTGTTTATGCATCATCTAATAAAACAAGATGAAGTTATTGGTCTAAACTATATTTGTTCGTAACTTCGTGTTGTGCAATGTGGATATTTTACTCTCTTTTTTTCTATAATATAATTTATGCATTCTAGGACGGCATGGTGATTTATTTTAAAATAAGAGGGAAAATGTCTGGTGAGGTCAGGAAAAGTTAAAAGGAGAGGGGATGCTGCCGCACACAAAATGGGAAGCTTGATGTCTCATATCTTAAAAATGTCAAATTGTTTTGTTGGGGGGTTGTGGTCTGAGGCTACGGAGAATCATGGGTTAGGAAAAATTAAGAATAACAACTGAAGCTATATTTTGTGGTAAAAATAGCAAAAGTGCAATTAGAAAAGAATATTATTCATGAGCGTATATTTATTTACGGTGTTACTGGATCAATATAATATGGTTTTTAGGCAAGAAAAGATGATCGTGTGCCACCCACGCGCGATCCCAAATGTCAACTGAGTCGGATGCTGAGATCAGCAAGCGAATTGTTTCAAAAATGTTGGACAGTGACGTTCTGACGTTGTTCGGTGATCAATGGGTGTGAAACCAAAAACCACTCGGAATCTACTCATTATTATTCACTCCACCCGGGACCACCCGTAATTTCCCACAGGGTTTTGGTTCCTCAATGAAATTATTGCGCATAGCAGATAAAACACCGTAAAACTCCATGGCGTCTGTTTTCTGGCCTTGCCGTAGCTATATCATTAGCCACTGTGCTACGTCTAGATATTCCCTCCAATCCTTTTATATATAAGTAACATTTTCTTATATAAATATGGTACTATATAAAGATACGTAACACTTTGTTTTTATTTAAAAGTTAATGCTTTTTTTTTCTATTTTTACTCTCAATTAATCATATGTTTTTTAATGTCTGTTTTTTCACTCATTATGTCCTATTTTTCTCAACTCATTCTCTTTTTCACTCACAATTTTCATAAATAAAAATACATCTCTCGTATATGTGTTTATTCAAAAGCTTCATGCACGTCCTGATTTAGCCTTTTACGATTGCGTTATCCATGCTGTGAAGTGTGAGCTCCCATTAGATGCCCTTGTGTTTTATCTGTTTCTTCCAAGTCGCGACACGCACAAAGAAAGATTCATAGATGCCATGAAATAGTACTCCACACAGATCTGAATTAGTAAGCACAGCATGAAGCTTGCAGCCAGCCTATGAAGCCTCTCTCATGTGTTCCCCCAACCCTTTTATTTTTCCTTCAAAATAATACTGTCCGCATGGTTTCTCTTCTTCTTTTTTTTGGGTTGGTTAAAAAACGAGAAGTTGCTTTACGAAATTAGATTTTATTTGGATGCCTTACTTGAACCACATACATAGCAAGTAGCCGGGGAAATCAAAATTTCCACGGCGCCCCTGCGACAGGGAAATATAATCGGAAAGAAGCCAACGATGTGGGCCCTGGGAGCGGGCTTAAATATTGACGCAAGGGGGTGATATCGGGCACAGGGCTAATTGTAGGGATAACCTCATAGTGTCGACATGGTTGGCGAGCAAGAGCTGCTGGTTGACAAAGTCTGCGGGCTGTATGATCAAATCTCAAGGCTACAGAGCCTGAAGCCCTGCAAAAATGTCGACATGCTTTTTACCCAGCTCGTCCTCACATGCATGCCACCTATACCCATCGATGTCACCAAGCTCAGTTCCCGCGTCCAACAGATTCGATCCAAACTTATAAGAATCTGTGGTGAGGCCGAGGGACTTTTGGAGAGCCACTACTCCTCCATCCTAGCCTCCCACCACGACCCTCTCCGCCATCTCCACCTCTTTCCTTACTATTCCAATTACCTCAAGCTCAGCCTTCTCGAGTTCAGCATCCTCAGCCAACACTACCCCCGTGTCCCTTCCAAGATCGCCTTCGTCGGCTCCGGCCCCCTTCCTCTCACTTCCATTGTATTGGCCTCCAACCACCTTCCCTCCACGGTGTTTCACAACTTTGATATCGACCCCGTAGCCAATTCCAAGGCCGCGCGCTTGGTTTCTTCTCATCCTGACCTGTCCAAGCGCATGGTGTTTCACACCAGTGATATATTGCGAGTCTCAGAGGAGTTGCAGGAGTATGATGTTGTTTATCTGGCGGCTCTTGTGGGGATGGGGAAAGAAGAAAAGACTCGAATCATTGATCATTTGGCCGAGCACATGGCCCCTGATGCGCTTCTGTTGCTGAGGAGTGCGCACGGGGCTCGGGCTTTTCTGTACCCCGTGGTTGACCCTTGCGATCTCGCGGGCTTTGAGGTTCTCTCTGTGTTCCACCCCACTGATGATGTCATCAATTCAGTAGTCGTGGCTCGTAAGTTTGCTGTGCCAACACAAAACCTTGCCTCTGCCATGCTGCTCAACCTCGATGATCTCAAGCATGGAGATATGATTAACGAGGGATTATTGCAGGCTGACGTGGAGGAGGACTGAACGTCGCCTACCCCTGTACGTCTTATCACAAATATCACTTGTATTTGTGTGATCTCCTGGTATCGCTCTACGCACTTGTTTGACTTAGTTTCAGTCATGTCTTCCTTAATTGTTTGCGAATCATCTAGCTAGTAGCTAGCGATTGGTATGTATATTTTCTCGTGGTGTCGTCTATGATTTTTTCAAAGAAATAAAAAGACCAGCGATTATGTGTTTAGATCGTCGCTTTTTTTCAAAGAAATAAAAAGACTAGCGATTATGTGTTTAGATCGCCGCCCTCCAGCAAGCCATAACGGTACGGGTGAGTATGAATTGATAGCATCCCCGTCTATATATTACTCACCAAAGTCGATGGCGTATATAGTCCATGAATTCAGGACTTCGTTCGTTCGTTCGTAGATGACGGTGGCTTCTCCTTTTGTTTTAGTGCTCGATCAGTCATGTTTGGTGTCGAACTCGGTTACTGTATGACCGGAGAAGAGGCAGTGGGGGAAGCTAAAGAGAATATGAACAGGGTTTCTAGAAAGATTGGGTGTCTTTTGCTTCAAAATTGTTTATAACGAGGGAGTGACGGTGTTGGGCAGGCGTCGGTAGAAACGAAGATTCTGGATGCGGGTGCGGCGTGCGACGGAGCATTGGGGGGCGATGATGATTCCCGCACATCAATTATTTTAACATAATAATCGCGAAAGGTCAATCATTTAAGTTGCAAGTACGTGAACGAAACCTTTCTTTCAATACTGTCATCACGCCACTTACCAACAATTTATCATCTTATCGTCTTCGCCTGATACCGCAAAACTACAACCTCTTTAAAGGAAGCTGCAGTGTGTAATTTATACACAGCAGCAATATCATTCAACTAAACGACACCTAACCCCCTGTTGAGTCCGCATCCACTAATTCAGCATTCATCTTCCCTACATATCATATCACCCAGCCCATAGCCATTATGCTCAGCTCCTATAACATCACCGTCCCTTCATTGATTGGGCCTTCTCATTTTAATATATATTTATATAGATTGGGTTTGGGCAAAAGATGACCATACAATAACTTCAACAAATTCCAAGGCATTAAGATAAGTCAGATCACGTACGTTATGATCGTTCTAATGATTCGAGCCTTTGGGTAATTAAAATATTTCAATTTACACAATCTGGCTGCACAAGGAAAGGAACCACTACTGTCTTTACCTATCTATCAAGGTCGCTAACGCAGAAACCCCCTGAAGAGCAGCGTTCTAAAAGACATGGTATCTCCTTTTCTTTACTTCTGTTTTGCTTTTTTTGAAACTATATATATTGTCGTAACACAGAACGATAACTGCTTAATCGGCTAGAGCTTTTGAACCACTTCTATAAGCAAAAGAAAGCTAGCTGGCGAACAAGTTGCAGAAAATCATGGCGTTGATGCGTGCTCTCAAGTGTCAGCCAATGCCGCCGTCACTCGCGCCTTCCGTGAGGGAGCTGCGCATGTCTTCGGAGGGTTTCCAATGCCGTTTCCTCTGATTGATGAACCAATTATTGATCTGCTTATGATCAAGTCCAGTCATTTCTGATAGCTTCAATTTCTCCTCTTCCTGCCTCATTATTCTCAGAAATCAGGCTTCTTCTATACCCAAAATGGCATACCTCAACAAACACACACACTTACCGTAGGATAAGGCCATCTGCAGTGGGAGTACCACCATTGAAGGAGAGCCGTCCTCGCATCCTTTGGAAGCTTGTTCTTTTTCTTTTTCTTCGAGAACTCCTTCCTCAAACCGCTAATGTAGCCACTGTACTTGCGAAGCAGCATTTCTCTTAGCTCTTGATCACCTGCAAAACGGCTCCCATAACATTCATCACCATCGCCTGCTTCTGCATCTCCACAAAAAATTCCCTTCTCTTTACTCCCACTCGCCTCATCTGAAATAAATGGCCCACACTGTCACCATCAGCCCTATCGGATACGAGCTCAACCACAAACGAATCATGAGTTTTGAGAAATTAAGAACTGTACATGTCAAATTGGAATTAATTCTACCTCCCTTTCTTAATTAGTTTATCGGCTGATCCCATTCCCGTACATGCATGCATGCACAGAAAAACAGATGAAACAAGATTTCGCATAAAATTCCAGTAACAACTGAATTTGTCTTGATCATTAAATTTCTTGGGGCTTGGTGGGCTGGCAAGTATACTAGATCCTAAGCCACTATGCGTGGTTTAGGGGTGGTGGGGAATCTGCATAATGAACGAGCGGTCGTAGTTTTAAATATTGCTCCGTCATGTACAGGAAGGGGGAAAATGTCGAAACTTCAGGGTGGAAGGACGCTGTTGTTTGTAAAGCAAATGATTGAGCACACAGTAGAAGAAAATGGTGTTAAAGAGTTTGCGCGTAACCAGCCACAATCCAGGGAATACTAATGGCCCTGTTTTTGAAATGCCAATTTAACTTTTTGTTCTCATTGTTGATTTTGATGTCCTCGTGATCTTCACGAAACACAGCTGAAATGGTCCCCCACAGAAGATGATGCAAATTCCACTTTGGTTTTTTCATTTTCTAGCAAAGATCCTACTTGCTTCTTTTAGCTTCAAGAGACAACGTCAGTTTCGAACGAAAAAGCAAGAATTGGTCCCCCGCCCCCTACACATATATATTCTCAGAATCATGCGCATTTCACTTCAGTCACGCGCAAACTGTACATAGCAAAAATTGAATAATGAATATTGAACCACAATAAATGTCGTTTTGACATTACGGCCTGTGTGGCACTAAATGAGAATGAAAAGGGGAATAGCGGTGAGAAAGCTTTCCCACCATAAACATGGCATAAAGCCCACTTTTTCGGGGTGAAGAAAACATCTGCTATCTACCAAACACAATAAAAATACTACCCCCAGAGTCGGATGATTAATATAAGACACAATTGACTAATCTGAAAAAAATTAAAGAAACTAAAAATTATTTTAAAGTAATTATACTTATTATTTTTTCCAAACTATTTTGCAACATATGCTAGAATTAAGCAATTTTTAACTTTTTTAATCTCACCAATTAGTTAACTAAGCCTTATATTAAGTACAAGAGGTCGTACTTTTCCTGACCTTCCTCCTTAACCAGGGTCCCCTTTTTCATGTACTAGTCGCAGTCCTAAGGTTGAATTCAGAAAGATGCCATAGAGGAAATGCCATCTCCTCAATAATCAATAATTCATATATCCTACGTTAATGTGCTAATCTCAGATTTTGACATTAGTACGGATGAAAGTAGATAACAACTAATATACGACGACTTAGCAGCATTAGTCGCTTATTTCTTACTACGTAGAGGAGACGCGAGTGACCCTATGCACCCACGGGACTAAGTTCTCACTCAAATACCACATGCATCATTTAAAAAATTAAAAATAAAAATGACACAATACATCACCAACCCCTTCTATTCTATAATAGTTCGGTCAAGTCATATTAAATACCCCTTTTTAGCAAAAAAAAAATACACTCAGACTTCCTCTCCATTCATTTACTTCCAGTGAATTGAAACTTCCTACTCAATTAATATATGTTTCTTTAAAAACAAAATTGCAACTAGATCGCAGCTATATCATGAAAAAGTTAACTTCTTTTTTTTTTTAAAAAAAAAAGTATAATAGAAGTTTGTATAATACATATCAACATTTAGAGAAGACGAGTGTGATTTTTGTAAAAAATAAACATGAAGAATAAGACAAGCTCAGTGAGATTAGCATGATCAGTGATAACTCGATAACAAGGAAACTAATAACAGCCGTTTAGCATCTGTGCTTTTTTTTTTTTTTTGAAAAAAAATAATTAAGTTTATCACTCATAGATACATCGCTATTACCAACAGTTATCACCAAATTAAACGATTATCACAAATACTTGAAGGATGAAATTTGTTGACATTGAAATGTTCCATAACAAGTGAAAGCAAATAATAGTATCGCAAAAATCTGGACCTTTTGATAGACAGCTTGAAATGGGCACATTTTCATAAATGTTGAGATTAAAAATGCAATGTAGTCTGGATCTCTGACGTACGGGAAGGGCCATTCATGTTCAGCAAGCAATAGTAACAACAATAGAGAGAAAGGGAAAAAAAAAAAAAAACAAAACACACACACACAGTAGATGCCCATTCTTGAGATAATATAATGTTCGAGAGACTACCAGAGGAGGGACCGATGATCCTTGCAAAGATTGCTGAGTTTTGATTCCATAGTGCACAGAACACAAAGTGGCTTCGTCGAAGGCTTGGACAACTCCTCTTTGTATCTATTCAGAACCCACAGTATGATTCCTTGCAGCAGCAACAAATTCAAATCTTTCGTCAGAAGCAATAACACTCCACATATAAATCTCACATAATCCTTTAAACGACGAGGGCAACAACAAAACGCATAGTAACAGTATGTATGTATATCGTATATATATAAATATAAGCGTACCATGAACTTGTCAAGTTCAGGGGTCGTCCCCTATTCTACGAGGATTACCGAAGGTGGTTGTGCTCGCCCTTTATTTTCCTAAGAAGGGATACTCTTTCTGGGGAGGCTCCCACCTTAGAACACAACAAAATACGCCTTTCGCTGCTTAGTAAGCAATATTCATATAAACTGAAGAATACGTTAGCTTAGAGCGCGGCTGGCGTGCGTGCGTGCATTAGTTTGTGTGCGATGTGGAATAATATCAGTGAATTAGGGAAGAATCATGAACCTTTTGGCAGTCTATGTAGGCAGAGAGTAAGTCAGGATAAAGAGGGTGATTGGCGATCTGGGTCTTGAAGAACCGATCTGATCCGGAATCATCCGGGTCGGGCGCTTGGAGGAGGAAGCCACGAGTGTTCAGCCTGTAATTATTATCCAGATATCGCTGACAGAAGGAAGGTTGAACGAAGAAGATATATGAAGCGGAGAGAAAGGCAGGGGGATCACCGGAGAAGAAGAAGCAGCAATTAGTTAAGGGAGAGGAGTGGGGGAGCAAAAAAAGAGGGGAATTAAGGAAGGCACGTGTGAGTGTGAGTGTAAGGAGTGTAAAGGATGAAGATGGAGGGGAAAGAGAGGAGGGAGGAGGAGGGTACAGTGGAAGGAAGGATAAGATGATGGGAAGTAGGGCGGAGAAGTCCATAGTGAAAGAAGGGAAGAGAGGGAGAGAGAGAGAGGGATGGGACCGTAATGCGCTTGGTTCAATGCGCAGAACTGAAGCCTCC